ATCAAGCACCCCTGAGGTCTGGAATGGAAGGAGGCAGGTGGGTGTATAAAACTTGACTGACCGGGCATGGGGCTCAGGGATGAGCTCCAAGTCACGAGCCAGACAAAAGCCCAGGAGTGACAGATGAACCACTGTCCTGAGATGCCCAGGTGGGAGGACTCCTAAGTTCTAGGATGGAAGGAAACTTGAACCAAACAGGAATTTTCAGGGCAATGGCAAGTTTATTCGCTCTTTTGCTATCTGAGACTGAACAATGATTTGGATTTGACGGACTCAGTCTACCCATAGCAACATAGGTATGCCAAGACAAGCATGTGAGGCTAAACTGATGTGGCCTCTGGTACAATAGACATTCAATAAACATGGTGGTTAAGGTCTGTTGGCCAGAGAAACAGACACAGGTTTCTGACCAGCAGTGGGGGGATGGGTGCCATAGTGGTCCAGCGCCCCTGGCTCTGAGGAATATCTTTATTAACGAGCACTTCAAGGTAAGCCAGCAATGAAAACCAGATGTGGGATCGTGCAGCCTGCATCAAGTAAGGACCAGAGATGATAAGGGGTAGGGTGGAGGGAGAGCAAGGATAGGTGAGGCTAGAGATAGATGCAAGTCTCCTATACTTTTCCTCGGCATGTTTCAAGTGCAAAGAGTAGGCATCCCATCCCATCAGAGCATTCAGGGTGTCCCCACCCCAGCCTGCTCCAGACTCCCCTTGAGGCAAGTTTTACATTCACAGATTTCCCCGGCAGCTTAAGGAGGGGTGCTCTAAAGAATCTGCCTGAGCTTTTCTGCAGCTGAAAGGTGATTAATTTTTGAGGTCTCCATGTTGACATTTGCTTCAACTTCCCAAGTCTATGGAAAGATTAGTTTCTGCCTGGGCTCCAAAGAGGATGTGTTGACTTCTCAGTGTTCCTCTTCACTGTGTGATTTTGACCATGCGTCTGCACCTCTCTGGACCTCAGTTTGCTCACTGGAAATAAGAGCACCAGTTCTCTCTCTGATGGTTGTGAGGTGCAAGTAATACTTAGTCCTTCCCCTTGCTATGTGCAGATCCAGGTGTCTACATAAATCCACACCATAGGTGTGGTTACGCATGCCTACCCCATCATCCCAGCACTCTGGGGGGAGGGACAGAAACAGGATCCTGAGTGTCCAAGCCAGCCTGAGCTAACCAGTGACACCCTGTTTCAAAATCAACAAAATCTGAGTCTTTTGTTTTACAGTGGAGGTGGGTGGGTGGGTGACCTGCACAGTGAAGAGAGAGACTGACTTCACTCTTTTCCTAACAGATGACAGACACAACTACCCTGCAAGGCTGGGAGGGAAGGATGTCTCTTAAGGCTCCACTCTTATCCTGGCTTTGAGGACCAGCCCCCTGCCCCCCACCCCAGCATGCAAAAGGCTGAAGGGCAGGAAGCCTAGGTGCTCGCTCTAGAGTTTGAAGCCAGGCAAGTCTAGGGTCTTTCAAGTGACTGTGCCAACACAGATATCACAGCACCCGAGCCCAGAGCCCTTACAGGACAGGGAAATAGTTAAGATGCAAAAAGTGGTAGGTTCTGGACCACTATGAGATCTGTTGTGTGTGACTTACTGGGAAGAATCGGGAATGGGGAGGCAGGATTAAAAACCCAGGCTAAGGTCCCAGCAGGCGAGCCCCTGGCTGTGCTACCAAGTTCACCAAGAAGCATTCAAAAGATTCGCCAGACCAGCGGCCCATCTGACTCCGAAAGTCAAACCCTCTTACAGTTTTTTAACCTGTCAATAAAACTTTCATTCCCCTTATTCTAGGTCCTAGCTAAGACTGCGGGTCAAAGCTCAGTCCAGTTTCGGGAGCTCTGGGGGTCGCTGCACTTCCCCATCCTAGCCTAAAATCCAAAGACCCTGAGGCTTCTCCAAGTTGAATAGCCTCTAGCCAGTGAGTGGCATCTCTAGCGAGTGAAAAGGAGGGGTTGGGGAGGGAGGAAGGAGCTCTGGGAGAGGAGGAGAGGAAGGAGGGGAGCAGGAAGGAGCAAGTCTAGGAAAAAAAATCACTTTTTTTTCCTGCTTCAAAACCTTAAGAGGGTTTGGGAGATCTGGTGAACTTTCTGAAGCATCCGAATCTTTGTACAGCTCTTGGTTCTTTCTCTGGGCCAGCTGTGGGGAGCGAGGTAGGGGTGGAGAGAGAGAGAGCGAGAGAGCACGAGAGAAAGACAGAGAGAGAGAGAGAGAGAGAGAGAGAGAGAGAGAGAGAGAGAGAGAGAGAGAGAGAGAGAGAGAGAGAGAGAGAGAAAGACAGAGAGAGAGAGAGAGAGAGAGAGAGAGAGAGAGAGAGAGAGAGAGAGAGAGAGAGAGAGAGAGAGAGAGAGAGAGAGAGAGAGAGAGAGAGAGAGAGAGAGAGAGAGAGAGAGAGAGGAGGGAGGAGAGAGGCAGCCAGCAGGCCGGGCGCGGAGCACTGCCACCGCCTCCTCGCCTCCCCAACTCCCAGCCAAGGCGCGCGGTGGCGTCCTCGCGCCCTCGCCGGCGCCCCCGCCCGTCGCCCGCGCAGGCCAGGCATGAACGCTGAGACTTGCGTCTCTTACTGCGAGTCGCCGGCTGCTGCCATGGACGCCTACTACAGTCCGGTGTCACAGAGCCGGGAAGGTTCGTCGCCTTTTAGGGGGTTCCCAGGAGGCGACAAGTTCGGGACAACTTTTCTGTCTGCCGCTGCCAAAGGACAGGGATTCGGGGACGCCAAGAACCGGGCCCGCTACGGAACGGGACAGCAGGACTTGGCGGCACCGCTGGAGAACAGCGCTGGGGCGCGGGGTTCCTTTAACAAGTTCCAGCCTCAGCCACCCACCCCGCAGCCACCTCCGGCTCCGCCCGCGCCGCCAGCGCACCTCTACTTGCAGCGGGGCGCCTGCAAAACACCCCCGGAAGGCAGCCTCAAGCTTCAGGAAGGCAGCGGTAGCCACAACGCGGCCTTGCAGGTCCCCTGCTACGGTGAGTGCACGTGCGGGGCACCGGGCCCGGGGACCCTGGGGTTCGCGGCTTCGCTATCCCCAAACCCACTGGGCTGGAGGGAGGCTGGAGGTGGAGGATGGAGGAACTCCGGTTCTGCCCGGAGCGCTTCGAGGGTGTCCATGCATCCTGCTGCGTCTCCAGCCCTGGCCCGGGCTCGAGCGCTGTGACTTTTCCACCCGCTCTGGAGTCGCTTCTCGGGTTTCTCCTCTGTTCTTTCAAACGACTCGCGTGCATAGAGCTGTCCTGCGGGGCCGGATTTGAAGCGGGTGCTTCGTCCGGGTTCCCGGCGGGAGACTGCTAGAAGCTTCTCCCGCTGCGTTCGGCGCGCGGCTCCCGAGCCGAGCCGTTGAGGCCGTGCTTCCCAGCCGCTGGCAGCCTCCGCGCACAGCGCCGCAGGTAAGAAGCCACAGGTGCCGAGCGCGCGGAGAAGTCTTGAGCGCAGCTCCCAGAGCCTTTGCTGGAAGCCACAGCACCGCGTCGCTTGCGGGTCTGGGTCTGGAGAACCTGGTGCATCAGAAAACCTAAGTCCTGAGTGCGCATCGCTTAGGGGACCGCGGCCCGCGGTCCCTGAGATGTCGGAAAGTAGCTGGCATCGAAAAATCACGGTTTATGACCCACTGGGTGTGAAAGCAGTAATTCTGAGATACAGCCAGCACAGGACTACGGGAAGAAGGAAGAATCCGGGTCCTGATTTGGGCCTACAAGGAACCTGATCGAGATGGCCTAAATGACCTCCAAGCCCCCTTGAACATGGCTGCAGGGTTCAGGCCTGAGTTTCGGCGCTCAGCTACCATTGAGGACACGGCAGCTGATCAAAAAAGAAAACCAAAGCCGTCCCAACTCCTAAACTTTCTCTTTTACCATAGCATCGGAGTTAGGGAGCCCCGAACTCAAAGCAGGAAGAAAGGACCTTCACCCCGGGCCTTTGTCTTTAGGCTGGGCCCTAGTGATGGGCTGGTTCTTGACAGCAATGATTCTGGCTATAGAGAAGCTATAGGGAGGCACTAAACCTGGCACGGGCAGGAGACCTGGTGGAGGTCTTGGTGGACAGAATAATCTCAGGAATACGGGCCAAGCTTTTAGTTTGCATACACACTCCCTCATTTTTAGCTCAATCACAGACAGGACTGAAGCAATCATTTGGGGGGACTGTGGAATAACCACCTAAGTATCTAAACGTGAATTACACACACACACACACACACACACACACACACACACTTTATTGGCCAGCGTGGTCACATATCAAATGCATACTCGCAGGTACCTTCAAAAAAGCTACAAACTCTCAAACTGACAGGACGGGGCTTAAAGCAGATCTAGAAAAATCTGGTGCCCTTCCCTACTTCTGCCACATTTCCTCTCCACCTTTCACTGGAATGACACCAGGAACCACCGAGGTGCTCTTCCCATGCCCGGCTCCAGAACACAGACCCTGTCTCTTGTGACTACCAGGTGAGAGCAGAGGGCAGACTCAGGGATTCTCAGAAGTGCACTGCACAAAGCCAGGGGGAGTCAGTGATTCCACCCCCCACACACACACACTACACTGCATTCTCATAGTTTAAAGACATCCATCAGTGCAGCCTCCGAGGAGGCCGAGATATTAGGCTGGGAGAATCTAGCTGCTCTCAAGCTCCTGGTGAGAAAGCCGCCCTTAAGCCCCTAGGGTAAAGAAAGAGGTTAGGCCTCTGCCTGTCCTATTGGGATTTCCAGGACTGACTGGCCATTAGCCGTTATGGCCAAGGAAAGGAGCAGCCACTTGACCTGGAACTGCTCTTAACCCGCAGAGTGACCCCAGAGTGAGTAACTCTACTAAATTCTTATTTCCTCATTGATACCAGGGCAGTAAAGAAGAGGACATAAATGCTGTCCCCCCTCCTCCTCCTAAACATTTCAATACTGCTGGGATCCCCCAATTCTGAGGACAAGGCAAGCTCCTGCCCTTGCTGGGACAAAGTCATAAAGGGCAGGCTGCGAGGAAAGGCAGCTGGAAACTGCCAAGACCAGGCTGTATCACTGTCTGAAATAGAGGCAGTCCTCCAGGAAACAACCAGGGAAGGGCCAAATCACTGCCCCTGTCCCCTCTCAGAGAAAGGGCCCTCTGTCCCAAAGGAGATTTCAGATCCACACAGGATGAGACACTGAGAAGCAGAAGGGTCCAGCCTTTTCGGAAGGGGAGCAGGGACTCTAATCTGCCAGCAAGCGGGGAAACCAAGGCGCATACTGACAGCAATTCTCAAACAGCGTTCTAAAAATCCCGAGATATTCTCATGAACTTGGCAAACCGCCGAGGCAGAGATGGGTTTGGGAATAGGCCTTGCCTTGGTGGCTCTGGATCCTCAACCCAGGCGGATCAGTATTTACAACTTCTGCCGGCTATAGGAGTCCAGACCCCAAAGTAGTTTCGAGTGGAGGGGAGCCTCTGAGATCTCTGCCTCGGTAGTACTTACTTTGAGGTCCCTCGGGAGGAAGGGGTAGGCCTGGACGTTGCACTAAAGCCGAGCCGAGAGAGTGCAGGCCCGAGTCTATAGAGACTCCTGAACGGGAGGTGAGGGAGATCCCCTTGTGGCTACAGGCATTCTAACAGGGTTCTGGGACGCGGTTTCCTCATCTTTTCTAAAAGGGTAAAGCTGAGGGTGACACTTCATTCTCCTGCGAACGCAGGACCATTCGATTTTTTTTTTAATGAAAGGGCCCCACGGAGGAGCCCTCGCCCACTGTGATCTAGACCCCATCAGGCTCCCTGCGGTCCTTCGGCCAGGGAGGTCGGGCGGGCTAGAGCCGCTCACCAGAGTGGAGACCGGCACTGCTGTGCTCGGCAACCTCGCCACTGCCGCTCCCTCGTGCAGCCTCGCGCAGCCTTGCCGGGTACTTCCGAGGGTGGCAAAGGCCCTGCCACCTCCTCTTTCGCTTTCGATTCGGTGTACTCAGGTTTTCGTTGAGAGCAATTAGGGACTTCCACAGCCCATCCGGAATGCAGCTCCCTCGGCGCCCAGATCTCTGGGCACTCCGGCCTCGAGCCCCAGTGGCGCCGAGCATGTTCTGATTTTTTGAATTAGATGAAATGTTAAACTCTGGAGGATGTTTCTACCTCCTTTTCCCCAGTACAGACACAATCCACACAATATGACTCTTACTTGATTTAGTCAAGGACCTTTTGTAAATCCTCCTGCCCAAAACGTGGAAAATGAGTACATAAGGGTCTGGGAGAGCAGCCTTAAGTAGTCCCCAAGCCATTCTGAGAGGGTTAAGTCTCTTGGTGAAGGCAGAGATGCCCAGCCAGTTTTAGAGGAAAGATTGGGAAAGAATGATTTTTTAATTTTTTACTTTATTCATTTCCATAGCCCCCAGCCTGCTCCAACCATCCAGCCCCAAAGACACTTTCTTAACTAGAGAAACAGAAGGCTTGTATTAAAAGTCTAATATTCTTTTGAAATCAATGGATTTGGAATACATTTTTCTTTAATTTACACATAGTGGGGTTCAAAGTCTTAAATGGAAAAGTCGGGAAAATGGTTAAGAACTTGCTCAAGTCATGGTCTTATATGTGCTGAAAATGCACACCCAAAGTTTTGAGGGAAAAAACCTTTTTTGTGAATTAAGAAAATTTCAGGAAAGAATTCGAAGCACCGGGGACCCCATCTTGTTTTTCATGGCAATATGTCAAGGATGACCTTAATGCTCCGCTCTGGGACTTTTGTGCAGCCCTGATTCTAACACGAGGCTACAAACAGCTTAGCCTAGAACCTTTCTCAGGATCTCCTGGAGTCATCAAAGTCTCCCATTGCCCCTAAAGTTTCAGACGCAGAGGAAAACGAAGTATAACACCCTGTATTAAATATTTCTAATGTTCCCAGAGGGCTTTGGTTTCCAGTGGCAAATAGACTTTTTCTGGAAAGTGCCTTTATTCATTTCCGTGGGCGGGTTTCTTCTGGAAGCTGCGCACAGCGCAGCGCGAGGAATTGATTCTGTAGAAGGCTGAAAAAACGAAATGGAAAAACCTCTGTAGCAACTGGGAGGGAGGAGAGGTTGGCGTCGTTCGTCCTGTGCGTAAGACCCGGGTTGGGGCTTGTCTACTGACCCCTTGGACCTCGGGGTGCCGAGGCAGCAGGCAGGGACAGGACAGGAAAGCTAACTGCCTTGAGCCTTCCGTGGCTTCTGCTTCGCCGCTTAGGAGGCAGCATTCGGAGGTTGCGCTCCAGTGGAGAGTAAGTACTTAGGAAGAAAAGAAAATTCTGGGAAAGGAGATCTTGGGCCCCTGGTGCTCCAGCGTCCTCAGTCCTGGAGCTTCTGTGCTTCGGAAGCTGCAGAGCCTAAGCACAGTCACAGGTCTGGGTGGGGCAGTGACTGCTCATTCGGTCTTGTGAGTGTTGCGTGTTCACTGACAACCGCGGCCTCTCTAAGAATAGTTTGAGATAGTGCAGTTCCCCTCACTGAGGAGTTAAAGGATGGTCATCAGACCGGTAAACCACACCAGTGCTTGGACATCCCGGCTACAGCTAGGTGACGATTCCCTGCAACGAATTCACAGTGGAAGCCAATGGCAACCTGTGTTTAAGCACTAGCTAGGAGCCACCAGCTCAGCAACACTGAGCAAGTGGGAGTTGGTCCTCCTTAGAAACAGGGCCTCTTGGAAGAAGGACCAGGTACCCACTAGTCAGTAAGCGGTTCCAACCACTCTTGAGACCAGTTATCAATGGCCCTCAGGGACGGCACTTCTCTGCTATAATTGTGTGATGAGTATCGTATCGCCATTAAAGGTGCTTCTGTTTTAATCTTGTAGAGGTGTGGAGTAGCCTGGGGCGGCAGCCATTTAGCCACGGGAAACAGGAAGCCCCAGAAAGGCTAGCAACAGCTCAGATGTCCCCTGTGCCTGTAGGATGGTGTTTCAGGTACTCCAGCCGCATTAAATTCTTACTCTCTGTCCCCGGCACATTCGTTACCCGAAGGAAAGACTGTTTTCTTCATGCCACCCA